TCTTGAGATATTCGTAAAAAATGCCGGTATCGCTACAAAGTATATTTGACTACAGTTATGCGTATTTGGCAATGGGAACGTCAGTATTAGTTGCAGGTTACCTTTTGTTTATAAACGAGAGTAAGGCGAGCAAAGGCTTAAAATAATGGCACAACATATACGATAACGATAACTACATATACGATGTGCGGCATATGCCTGCTATAACTTATCTACTATAACTTATATACTAGCTCAATAAAAAGAGAATATCATCATTTATTAGGTTTAAGTGTGGGTTAGAGTTCTCGCCGACCGCTGCAAGGTGGGCGCAAGCGGTTGCGTGAAGTAATAACAAATTAATTATACAAATAGCATGCGTAGTGTATTATAAAAATAAAAAATGAATGAGTAATTGATATTATTTTAGGAAATAGAATAATCGTTGTTGTACACTTATTATAGGCGGATGATTGAAGGATTGCAAACTCAAGAGTGTCTATCACAAAATAATAACGTGCAATCCTGGACTCTTAGAGATAAAGCAAACCTATATCTTTTCACAGCAGCCCTTCGATCAATATTGTGCTATTTTATATATTTTTCATTATTGAGTTAAACATTTTATTTTGGATATAATATTAAAGTTTAATATATTGTTTATAGCAACATACTCCAAAGTAGCGATCTTGCTCTGTCAGTTATGCATTAGAACTGGCAATTATATTAAAAAATGGGGTTGAACTTTACTAGGGAACTAAAAATCATTGTCTTTTTTATCTGCAATTTTGTAGTTTTCAATGTGTGGAATCCACAAATCCAAGTTTGAAATTACGGAATCCAATGACGCATACCATATGACTATGCAAAGCAAAACATCTTCAGAGTATTTTACATTTCTCTTTAGCGTCAAATGAGCTTATGTCCATTATATCATTCAATGAGTTGACGTCGCCATAAAAATTCGCACAATCCTCATCTTTGTCCCCATCCTTAGCTGGTCTCTAAATGAATTCTATTTCCTGAGTATGCATACATGTTACATTGAGTATATTATCTTCGCAAAAAATTAGTTCGTACTAACACAATTGGCCGTCTAGCGTCATCCTGAAAATAAATGCAGGAAACATTCGATAACTGCGAAAAGGTGCATAACACGATAAAAAGAGAGCGAAAAAACAACGCAGTGGTGAAAAAACGCAAATGAATTCTTTGGACGCATTGGAAAAAACTGTTACCTACAGGCCTTGACACTGATATTGTTGCAATGCATCGTTCACACGAACTTTTACTGAACTGTCTCGAGATTCAAGCCGTTCACGCGAACTTTTACTGAACTGTCTCGAGATTCAACTTAATGTAACCAAGTTTCTTTAGAGCATAAAGACAGCTCTGGGGAAAAAAGGAGGATGCATGCACAGACTTGTAGAAAAATACTTAAATAAGTTTACTTAATAAAGTTCTATTACAGATCGATGATTGAAACGATGTTGAAAAGCGAGTTCCTAAGGGTGGGCATCCGATTTTTCGGATTTGCCACTTTTTTAAGATGAATGGAAAATTAGAAATAATTGGTGGGTACATGTTCCAAAGAAGGTTCAGCACCTGTGTACCGGTCGCATCAAGTAGGAACAGGTTTTACCGTTCTTCAAGGTGGATCTCACCAGTAATGGGAGAACTCTCTAACCTGAACATACGGATAAGACCAGACACTTGCAATATTAATGATTTTTATTAAAAAAAGGAATAAATATTTCAATTCATAGATTACTTATGAAACACTTCAATTTGCCGAAAACAAAAAAAAGAGTATGAAAAAACAGTAATATTACAGCCTTTTGAAATGAAAAACCAAATACATGTAACCAAATACATGTATACAAAATATATGTAATCAAACATGTTTGACTCAATAGGTCAAAATGATTACCATCCACGCGCAGTCAGTGGCTCCATAAACTGTACTCATTGAAAGATTCAGAATCCAATTTATTGCTAAAATAAAGTGTAAAATACCACACAAATTTTACATAATTTTACATTTCCCCGTTTTGAAAACTGATGGATTGCAAAAAAGTGATTAATTTTTGGTTTTGCTCTAAAGCAAAGTTCAGCCAAAAACGATAATGACATAGATCCAAAATTCGTCCACATTTTCCAATTTGGGCCCGTAAACGCCATAAAAGTAGTGGTTTATTTCGTCGTATCCGGAAGCAAGTAACATTTTTCTTTTTTTATTACTCTTGTGATTTAGGTTCCATGTGAACTAAAATCTCGATTAAAACAGCACACCAATACTGTTGTATACAACAGAAATGCTGAAGCAAAATCAGAAGATTTATGCAGTGACACATGATATAATAGTACTTCAAAATAACGTTTATACTGATTTATGCGAAGTAATGGTAACTGCATATGGTCCATAGGTGTTTAAATAACGTGATATTGGTAAATTTTTTGAAACAATATGCAAATAAAAATACTCTTAGCAAGTCAACGCTAGAGGAAGATATTAGAGGAAGACGTTGTTCGTATTTACGACTTGGCATGGCCTGAATACTACACGAAGATTCGTGATCACAGAAGTAAACAAGGCCCCGCGGGACTTTATTTACAAACTCCGGGTAAACAAAATAAAAATACAAAACTACCAAGAAAACAACAAGCACTCACGACGAAAAAAACAAAACGTAACGTAGTTTGATCTTTAAAAATAACGACAACAGAATTGCTGGAACCGGGAGACAGCAAGCAACACGTGTCAGCACTGTGTATGCTTACGGGCACTATATCGATATATTTTAAAACACAGCTGCAGGCGGAAAACTATGAGATAAGAAGGGTAGAATAACAGGAGCGATATAACACCCGTTCTAGTTCAGGAACCGCCTCAATTTTTATAGAAAGGATTAGGACAGTGGAAGAACGTATGGAGAAAAAGTGGAGAGAAGAATGGAGATATTATAGGGAGGATAATTGGACAAGGAGACTTATAAATGACGCTTGTATTTTTAAAAGAAGTACAGAAGAAATATTGAAGACTTTACCATGCAGAACTTGAGTGGACATGGAATATTTAACGTATATCGTAAGGCTATTAATAAGGAGGCCCACTCAAGATGCTGGGATTATAATGCTGAAGAAAATGATGCGGAGCATGCGTTGTACCACTGCCCTACGTGGATCAATGATAGAACAGTACTAGAAAAGTACTTGGGCATGCAACTCTGCTAAAGTACCTGGAAGAGAGAAGCTGGATGATAATCACTGGAAGAGATAAAGAAGGGGAGGAGTGGACATATATGGGGAGGGAGGAAACTCAGTAATAGATTATGTGATTGGAAATCAGGAGACGACAGAAGAAATAATCGACGTGAAAGTAGGAAAAAGAACAGAGTCGGACCACATGCCGTTAGAAATAGAAATAGGGGGCCGGAATTACAAAAAGTGAGGAAAAGAAAGAAGAAGAGAAGGAGAAAAGGGAATGAACAAACTAAAGTGTGGAAAAATACCTGGAGGAATGTAAAGACTGGACCTGCAAGGGAAGAACAGTAGAGGAAATGTGGACTGAAATCAAAAAGAAGATAAATGAAGCAATGCCTAAGCAGAAAGGGAAGATAAGGAAATGGGGCATGGGGGAGAAAGTGTGGTACGACAAGGAGTGGAAGGAAAGGAAAAGAGAGATGAGAAGGAAGATGACAAAGTTTATGAAAGGAAAATGCAGCAGAGAAGCACTCACAGAAGAAAAAAGCCATTCAAGCAGTGGTGTAAACAAAAAAAGGAAAGACACGAAGAAGAAGGAATGTAGAAAATAATGAGGATCAAAACAGAACAAGAAGCGTGGAAATATATAAATAAATACAGAAGAAGTAGAGATGGTATAGATGAGGATATAAGCGAAAAAGAGTGGAAAAATCACTTTATGGAAATTTTAGAAGGGACAGAGCACAAAGAGGGCAGAAAAACGGGGCATAGAGAGGAAGAGAAAATAACGGAGGAGAGAGAAGATGTTGCGTCGGACAACACTCTAAACCAGGCCACACACCTCGGGCAAGATGGCAGCCAGATGTCTTCGGATCCTTACTGCGTACCCTCAATAGTCTCAAGTGCCCTCCATAAATCTCAGGAATTTATCTCGAGGGCGGTTAGCATCCTTCTTCACCCACCACCACAGTAAATAACCAATTAACAACGAAGCCTATTTCCCTCACTCTCTTAGCCAAAATCGTCACCAACAAATCCGATGGTCCTGTGAGCTAGACACACCCATCCTTAGCTTTCCTCCACCACAGCATCGTCACCGAACTGCACTGATTTTCCATCTTTCAAACAGTCAACATCTTTTGACCGGGCTTACACCCGTAGAGCAGTCACTCACTTATCTTATACATACGCACCAGCGTAACTATCTTCCTTACAAAGTTGTTGGAATAAATTGTGATTTATAACTTATTATACAGTGTTACATTCATTGAACCACCTCTATTATCTTAATCGAAACCGGGGAACGACTATTTCGCGGCGTCGATTAACCGAATCGTAGCGAGAATTTACGCCTCTCGCTGACGCGTTTTCCTAGCGACCGCGTCTCTCCGCGAACGATCGTAACATTTTGGTCCCTTGAGCCGGATTCAGTGGCAAGTGAAAAGTGTGAACACGTAACCGGTCGAAACATTTTGGTCCTTCGAACCGGATCACGTGTCAAATGAAAAGTACACGCCAGTGACACCCACTGCCATACAGTGCCACGTGAATCCAACACAAACAGCAGCAGAAACGTTACCACTCCAGCGAAGTCAGTAACGCCAGAGTCCATCAGTTTTTTGAAGAGGCATAACCCGGTGGTTGAAGAACGCAACCACGCAGCCTCGCGCCAACAACTAGAGGGTCAACTTCCGCAAGAACACGTCTTACACGTCAAACGAGACACACACGGTGACGAGTAGTGACGAGTAACATTTAAACTTCAACTTCCGCAAGAACACGTCTTACACGTCAAACGAGACACACACGGTGACGAGTAACATTTAAACTCACAACCACGAGGTAAGCTCGTTTATTGCATTGTCTTCACAATCTACTATACCAATGGAGAACACAGATAAAATTACCTCCTTGCATCGGAGACGAGGCTTTCAAATCGGCCGATTTACTACTCTATCTACACAACGGTACCAACTTCGTTGGCGCCAACAACGAATTACGAGAGCTCTGAAACCTTCTGCAGTCCGACGATCATAAGGTAAAGGTTCAGTCCTTTTTAACCGACCGACGGATCGAATGGCGCTTCATTCCTCCCAACTAACATCACTTCGGCGGGTTGTGGGAGGCTGCAGTGAAATCCTTCAAACCACATCTCAGACGTATCGTAGGTAACGAGCTCTCAACATTTGAAAACTTCAACACACTCATCATTGAAATCGAGTCTATCCTCAACTCCCGTCCGCTGACTCCAATATCATCAGACGCAAACGATCTTCTTGTCCTTACTCCCGGTCACTTCGGCGATTCATTAACAAGTTTCCGAGAACGAGATTTCAGGGACACTCCATCCAATCGTCTCTCCAGCTGGCAACATATTCAAAAACTCAAACATTTCTGGCGCCACTGGCATCGAGAGTATCTGAACGAGCTGAACATCCGAAACAAATGTAGTAAGGGCAGTCACGACATACGAGAAGGCGCCATCGTCATTCTCAGAGAAGACAACGTTCCCCCAATGCAATGGCCACTGGGCAGAATCATCAAGGTCCAACCCGGCGCAGACGCATCATACGGACGGCTACCGTTCGATCGGAGCATCAAGCAGATGGTAGCACTCACTACCATGCAGGGATACTGGACGAACGACTGAAGGCAGAGATTGAAAAGGAACGGAGAGAGCCAATTCGGATTCAGAAAAGGAAGAGAAGTGGCCGATACGGTTTATGTAATAAACCACATCACAGACAAGCAGCTAGATGTGGCGACACTCGACCACGGAAATTTCCAACGGCTTTGCGGCACAAAGCGCTATACCTTCAAAGCGTAAGGCCGACAGGCCTAATGTACCATCGATATCCCTACGACTTTTTCGCCGAATATTCGGTAGAATGCATACGTGGCAACCGTCGCGAACTTCTGATAAACGCGCGCGTAGTGAGGATATCGAGGGGCAACAAAGGAAAGAATCTGTTCGGTTTTGAACCAAAAAGATTCATTTTGCCCCGAGCCGCGAAGTGCGAAAGGTTAAGAGAAGCAAGCACAATTAGAGAAACGAGTCGTTAAAACTACTCTTGAGAGTTCAGTTTTAATCGTTACCTGTTATTAATTGTTGCTAAACGTTAACCGTGGTTAAACGTTATTTGTTGTTAATTGTTAAGAGTCTAATAAACGTTATTGTTGAAAATCAAGGGTATTTTCTTGCGGGCACCTTCACGGACGGTCACCTTCACGGACTGTCACCTCATAAGTGTGAATAAATATCTTGGTTGTTAAACATACCCGAATGTTCCTTCAGTACCTATCACGACCTATCCACTTCATAGGTAAAGAAAGAGGGAAATTATATACCTGCCTAAGAGCGGCGTTCGACAGACTAAACAGAGAGAAACTGGAGGAGAAAATGAGGAAAATGGGGATTAGTACAAGTGTACTCATCGAATATTACTGTTAATAAATATTGATTGTTGAATACATCTGAGTATTTCCTCCGCACGTATTACGACATCCCACCTCATGGCCATGAAGGGAAAAGAACAAGAAAGAGAAAGAAGGGACTAGAAGATGTGAGAATGGGAAGGATACAGATAGAAACAGGAGAGGAGTAAGAAAGGATGACAGCAGACCAAATTATAGAAGAAACAAGAAAGGAAGAAGCAGAAGAGAGGGAGAAAAGGATAAAGGAATCCAAGTATAATATACACTACAGAAACATAACCAAAGAAAAATTACCAAAATACTTAGAAGGGAGGATGAAGTGGAAGAACAGAAAAATACTGGCAAGATTCAGATGCGGAAACGAGACCAAAGCAAGGGAATACTAGAAAGAAGAGGGAGATAAAGATGCAGACTATGTAGAAGGAAAGAAGACCTGAGGCACGTAATAGAAGAATGTGAAATAACGGGAGGACCAAAGGACATAGGAAAAACGCTAAATGAGACTGGAGAAAGTTTAACAGAACTGAAGGCAATAATAGAGAAGAGAAGGGCAAACGGCAGGAAGGATGTACAGCAAGGAGGCTAAAGACCAAAGTTGCAATAGTTTTTTAGTCATTAGTTGCTAATTTGTAGTTTCTACTTTTAGTTTTTAGAGGTAAAATTAGCAAGGTAGTGCAATAGAATAGAGTGGAAAAGAGATGTAAGAGATGTAAAACCGAAAGCTCATTCAAAGCCGAAAGGCACAAACTAAGCAATAATAAAATAAAAGAATAATACAAGAGGATCCAACAGACCAACAGGCGATCAACATTGTGTAGTAAGCCCTATTATCATAAGAGATAGAAACGCTACTATTCACTTCTACGGACGTAGGAACGCTATCAGTGATGTCTAAGGATGCAAAGCCTTCAGCATTTATATTTCCCCCCAAAATAATCAAATCTATCTGCCAAGCAAAGGAAAGAGTAAAGAAAAAGACAAAGAAAAGAGGGAAAACTGTAACAATCATCTCGGAACAATGTAAAAGCCAGGTCGAACAAAAACATGGGTACATGAAATTTGCATAAATGTTGAGGACTGATGGTTTAACTAACTAGCACTGCTCATTAGATTAATTATATGATCTCTTACGTCGTATCGCAACTTATTCCGGTTATGTCCATGAAGTGTGAGTTATCTGTAAAATTTAATCGTAGCGTTTAGCTTTCCTTCATAGACTTAGCTTATTGTAGTTCGTATCGTTGTCGTCTGACTTGGAGCCTATATATTCATGCACACCATCAACAGAATGTTTGAATCTCTCATAAAGCGTCTTTTAACTGTTTTGCCAACCGATGCACTGATAAGGCGTCTTACTCCAACACTCACTGCTGAAGTCATGAAGACATGGATTGCATTGGGTGATCGACAGAACGACGAGTTTTTGAAATTGCATGGTCCTCCGGCGGCCTACTCTAAGAGAGCGTCGAACGATAACACCGCGCCCCTTTCTATCTGCCTAGTCGTCAAGTCACTTCAAGTCCGTTCGAATCTATCAGTTTAGAGAATCGATGCCAGTGCACTTCGCTGGGCATATGTTCTCGTACACTTTCGCGGGACATTCTCTTTATATTAAACATTGTAGAAACAAACTATGTGTGGACATGATTAGCCTATCGTGCAGATAGCTAGAGAAAGAGAAAAAGAGAAAAAAGGATTAAAAAATTTAAAGGAAGGAAGAAAGCGATTTGGAAAAGAGAAAAAAAGGGCTGAAAGCCGAAAAAACATTTCTTGACTTGGGCGAACTGGAACGCCCAAAGAACAAAAAAGAATGTAAGACAATTAATGGGGAAAATTAATTTTTATTATAAATTTATGGAAGATGCCTGCAAACTCCTGGAACCACTTCATAACTTATTAAGGAAAAATGTCAAATTCATCTGCAATGAAGAATGTGAGAAATCATTTCAGAGGATCAAGGAACATCTCTGTTCAAGTCCGGCCCTAGCAACATATGAGCAAAACAAAGAAATATTCATTTATACAGATGCAAATGGTGATGGTTTAGGAGCCGTTTTAAAACAACCCCAAGATAACGGTATGTTACACCCGGTTGCGTACTTCTCAAGAAAACTGAAACCAAACAGAATCAAAGATGAAAGCAATCTATCTCGAATGCCTTCCTCTTAAAGAAGCGATTCAATATTGGCAACATCACACATTACTGTTGCTTTGCACAGAATGCTTGATATGAAATGAACCTTATAGCGATAACGTTCGTAATGAGAACTAGCTGCAGTACGTATATAGCAGCAGATGGGTTCACGAAAATTACATCAGGTCTAATATGGCGTTCTGCGTGTACATCAACTGTAACTCGAATGATACACGTTGCTGAACCGAATAACAAGCGTATCAACTAAAAAATTGTAAAATAGAGATAAGAATGAAGTGTTTGCAAGTGATCTTAGTTAATATATCTTGAACTTTGTTGCTGTATTTTCGATGATAGCGACTAGTGTTATTTGCAAGAATTGTAAAAGAAAAATTCAATCTTCTAGAACCAGAAACCGCGGCTTAGGTTCCAAAATTGCAAGTAAGTATGAGTACTGGATGAAATTTTTCAACTCATCTCCACTAATTGGCAATGCCAATCCATACCAAAAGTCATCTGAAATAAATCGCAGGATTGTGTTGGCGACTTTTAGAGAACGGAATGGAAAAGATAAATTTATTTTGTGGACTAATGGATATTTTTCAGGGATCGGCTATCAATAGATACTACGGCTGTCCGGAAAATTTACATTCTGTTGTCTTACGGGTATCTAATCGTCCAATTTCGAGAGCTACCGAAAAAGACAGAAGAAAAGTTAGCGTTTCGGAAGAGAGAACGCCAGGAAAATGAGAGAATTGAATTCTTCGTTCGGGCTTGCTACACTCCTCGGGAAACACAGTAAGAATGTGCTTGATATAATTGTAAAATCTAGGTTTCCCAATCTTGCAGCGTTGCATGGGAGAATAAAACGGGCACAAAACAGTACAATGATTAGTATGAAGGTGACAAAGATAATTGCACTATAAACCATATCAGTGCTGATAAAGTGGAAACTTATGTCATCACAGAAATGTTTATGAGATCAGGAAAGAAACATCATGCCAAGTATAGTACATGTATTGGAGATGGAGATAGCGAAACGCATAAAGACATACGAAGACATTGTTGTTTAAAAGAAAGAATATGTTGGTCATGTATAGAAACGAATAGGCACAAGGCTAAAGGACGCCAAATAATGTTAAATAAACTGTTTTCGGATAATTACAATAGCGTTTTCACAAAAAGTGGAATTTCTAACTTGAGAAGGACAGACACAATAATTCATAAATGTCCTGGGAATAGCGAAGAGTATAATCCATGCATGTTTTAAACCAGTTAAAGCTGGATTCCAAGTCACTTTACACAAAGTTCATCTGAAACAGAACTTTTGTTTGTAATTGCTTTTGTTTGTATTTGCTTTTTAGATGAATATAATTAAGTGCTGTGGTCAAAACCTGAACCTCTGAACCCTCGTCAATATTTTATTGCCGATCTATTAAATTTGTATTTATGAAAGAAAATGAGGCATTGGTTAGGGAAAAAGGTAATTATGGAAATAAATAATCTTTCTCGCAATACATACAATTCAAACAATGATAATATAAAAGTTATCTTTGCTTTGCGTTTAGCCATGTTATACGGTAGCGTTGGTAATATTTTATCAAATATAAATGTTGGTCCCAAAATGTTGTACCGGTGGAGAATCTTCAAAGAAAATGAATTCGATAGAAATTATTCAAAAACCTCGTGTGTGCAGATATTTCGACGTTAGCACGCGAGCTAAGAATTTAATCGTAATTCGACCGTGCCAGTTCGTACTTTCAGGAAGAAAACAACCTTATTAACTGGACAGTTCTATGTAAATATTTATAAATCGCACATTAAGCGAACTTGTTTACGAGTTAAAATCCAAAGGTCTCAGCTGTAAGAACCACAAGAAAAGATAAAAGAGACCTACCTTCAGAATTTCAACCTCATAAACGTCGTGAGGTAAACTGTTTTCTTTTTGGGTTCACTCAAAACAGAATATTGGTATCTTATGATCCCAAGAATTATGATCCCATTAATACAAATATGTATATAACAAAACAAAAATGAAACGTATTCTTTTCATTTGTAATTTTAAATAACGCATAGAAAAGATAACGCATACATGGAGTTTTATCACCTTCTTTAAATGGTATAATTATTCCATAATTAAAAACGAATAAAGAAACGAACTTACCAAAGCACCATAGGAAAGAATTTATGAAGTTTTATCTTACTCGGGAGTCAGTTTGCCTGAATATCACAAAATCCATTCACCTTAAATTTCTGGCAACGAGAACTCTTCAAATTTCCTAAAAAATGAATTTTAACAGACTTTTTTTCAATTTTTTAAATTTTAACAGGCAATGTAATTTAACAGATAATTTAACATTCTAACAGAAATAGTAACACGGGAAAGATAGCGTGTGCAAAAATGCGTGAAAGGGCATTTAGAAAAATCGAAATAATTGGGAATATAATTAAAAAGTGAAGAGAAAATATCATGGGTTTCATGCCTGGAGCATAAATGTGAAGCATAAATGTGAAAATTTTCAGCTTTCGTGACAAATTCTACTTCCATTTCTTTTTTTGTTTAAATTGAGGTGTGTATTGAATTCCATGTCAAAATAATGTATATACATATATGTATACATATATAAGTATCAAAAATAGTAGTCATTTTCCTTAGTTTATTTATCAAAATGTCATTTCCTTATATTATTATGATACAAAGAATTATATATATATATGATGTATAATGCAAAATAAGTATATAAAAATTAAAATTGATTTCACAATTACATTTGAATATGGTATAAAAAGTAATGTTTGAAAGAAAATTTCAGATACATTCATTTCCGGAGTTATTTAATTGCTTTTCATGTTTAGTTGTAAATTTCCACAATTGGCCAAATTGCAAAATTCATGCCATTGACATTAAGGAAACAATATAGAGTGTAATAAAAGGAAAACAAGAAAATACAAATTCTGACAGTGAATTTAGTAAAAAATCAAGAAAAAGTAAGACAGACGTTAGGAAAATATAGCAAAATAAAAGAAGCTCAAGAGGGCAGCGGTAACCATAACAATAAGAAAGAAACACAAGAGAAAGGTCACTAAAATAAATTACAAAGTGTAAAATAGCGGTAGAAGACAAAAAACAAACAACAAGTAGGAGCAAAGAAAATAAGTTATACAATAAAGGAAATGAAGGAATGATTTTAAATCATTTGAATCAATTAATCATTTGAATCAATTAAATCACTTAAATAATTTGTCCAATTTGGACATTTGGTGTTGAAAGGAACAAAGAATATGAAAGACAAATTAAAGAAGGTAAGAAAAATTTATCATTAATTAAGAGAGATTTTATATTATAATAGGAAGATACCAGAATATAGATAAAGGTAGGAGAAAAGAAAAGAAAATGAGCAGATGAACAAAGCAAAATGGACAGAAGAAAGAAGCAAACTAACAAAAAAAAGTGAGGTAATAGAAGAGTCAGACAAAATTAAAAGAAGAAAAGAGAGGAAAAACTATTATTATAAAAAGGTTGTAAATAAGAGATAAAGTAGAAGAACCCAAAATGATATTTTGAGATTAAACTTTGTTTCAGGGCATCGCTCTTTTCTGGTCATTGTTTGTATCCTCTAATGTTATTTCATGAATATGAAAATGAATATGAGAACGAAAAATAACAGTTTTGAGTTTAGTGATCAATTGTTTCACAAGTAGTGATCAATATATAAATTGATTTGGCAAAGGCAACTTTTGGTATTTTGTACGAGGAGAAAAATATATATAACCCAACTTATATTATAGCGAAAACATTCATGGTATGAACAGAAATTAATGCTTTAATGGTAATCTGACATAAAAACAAAGTCAACCATACACAGTGTAGGTATATGGTATAAGAATATGGGTTCTCCACTACTCAACAAGAATAGATAAAACACAAACACATTTCCTAAAAAGAATATTATACATACTGAAATACCATGTAATGCCAGATTATGTGATTAAAAGCAACAAGAATAGTCTTGGAACACAAAATAATAAAATGAGGCATAAACTACATGTTAAAACTGGCAAACATGGGAGAACACATAATTAGACAGGAAAACATAGCAAAAAGTAATACACACATAATAAACTCAAATAGAGTTATGAAGCCAATGGTACAGAAATAATAATAAATTTAAACTGAACAATAATAGAAGAAATAACACAAATACTTCCTGGATAAAAGAAAGAAAGAATAGAATAATCTACTTATAGTGAAGTATATAAATATGCTAAAAATATAGAAAAAATAATTAAAGTTACTTGCATATGAAACTGCTATTAATAACTAAAAGGGTAATCAAAGTTAGAGTAGCTGGGAGACAAGAACGATCAGTGAATGCAGAAAATAGCATAAAATACAAAACAGATGAAAACAAAATGTATAATATGTGTAAGAAAAATATATTGGATAATATTAAGAATTTACAACAAAATTCATTAAAAAACAACAATAGGATGGTGATTTTTTTCTGACAAAGAAAAATAGTGACAAGGACTGACAAATTTTATTAAAAAGCAAAAACAGCATTAAGCTAAGATCATTTTATCATAGAAGAATAGCAATTCAGACAAATTCACAAATTATAATAATCTAAGAACAACTTAAATACTTTGTTATGTTTGTTTTGCAGTAACCAACAAATTTAAAGACTTAGCCTAAGTATAAATATGCCATAAATAATTCTATGTAGAAATAAACATAAATAATATTAAATAAATAGAACTTTTCTTATTGAAATGTGACAGTCTGTAATAAAAGATAAATTAAAAAAGAAAAAATAACTTTAACAAAAAAGAAATTTATAAAAATTTATTCTTAAAAAATTGTGGCCAATCAGATACGTGAAATAAAAGATTATTAGAAGAAACATGATTAGTCTACAAGAAGATCATACGAAAGGAGAAATGAAACGTGTACCGTATTCTCTCAACATACGATTGCGAAGAAGTTTACTTACTCTATATTTCATTTCCGAACTTCGTTTCCACGCAGTCATAGCAGTTCAGAACTATTTTATGAAAATCAAGAATTTCCTACATCAAATTATTTGATTTGCAAGACCTCATATATTTCTAAATTACTTACACAAAATTAGTACAGCCTATGAACAATGCAAACATTAAAAAGAAATAAGCGATACAGTAGCCCAAACAAGGACAAAGGTTGAAATAAGACAACAAAAATAACAGTTATTATTCAAATTTGTATGAAAAATCCTTCAGAAATTAAATTCTTCTTTTAATGAAAGACGGTTATGTATATGAAAATCAAAAATGCAGTAAAAATACAAAAAATATAAAAGAAGAAAACTGTATTTGTTATTACGACTTACTTTTGCATGTAGAATAATTTCCATTTCGGTTACTGCACTACCCCTGTTATTAAATAGGTTTTGGAGTTCGATATTTAATTGATTCACACAGATTCAGTTTTTATATTCTGTATTTCACCACCATGTACAGCCATATGAACACACCGGATACTCTCAGATAATTAACACGTGGCAGAAGCTAAAACAAAAGGGCGTCGTTAGAAGTCGTACCAACTTCGCATGTAGGAACTAGTGATCATACCAACATGACATTTATCTCAACAGATTAAACAGTACTGAACTCTATGATGATGCGCTAGCATGATATAATGTCGACGATGAGGTAGCGTTGTTTGCTGATTAGTTATACTTCAGGACTACATGTGGGACCTCTGTACGATCGCTGGTTAAATCGGTCACTTTGCGATATGCTTATGAAATCTAAACGTAATTCTTTTGTTAACATTTTCATAATTATACTTCAATTTTAGGATTAATTAAACAAATATTTAATAATTATTTTAATATCGATTACTATAAATAACGATTATTATAGTGCGAAATTTTGTGTGTATATAGTATGTTAAAATATGTAAATGTATGTAAAATAAAATATATAAATGTGTGCATATGCAAAATATATTACATGTGTGTGTACCTACATTTAAAACACGTAATAGTTATACAATATTCTAGATTACGAATTTGGATTTATCGTTCATTATGTTCTTTTATTACAATTTAGTTGTCAATTGCAAATCGATTCATAAGATTCATAAGGGAAGGATCTTTTTATTGCAAATAGACTAATGGAAAGTTTTTCTCTAAAATCAATTGCAAATAATAATTTTGAATAAAAACGGAAGAATAAATGTCTTTCCTAAAGGAAGAAAAATGAATAAGTTATGAAAATCTAATAGCTAATATAATTTTATTCGTTATTCCTTATTGACTGTCGATATTAGACCTTGATATTTCGTGTCAGGTATCCCTATCTCTGACATTCAATAAGAAAGGAGAACATTTGTTTAGAACCTTACCTCCTCGAGAATGTTTCTAGTCCCATAACAAACAGTTTTTGTAAACAAAATCTTATTTTTAAAATTACATATTTACATACATGTAATATCGTGATATGATATATGTTTACAAAGGAATGGATGATACAGATATTAATTGGACAGAAAAGACGATTGTTGTTCAACCTGAACCATTCACGCCAAACGTACAGAAAGCAGCACAAGTAAATGATTAGAATACGACTCGACTTTCACAAAACGCAATCAACACTCTCTCGGTAACGCCACTCTCAAGCTCTGCTTCTCGACTCCCACGCTGCTTCTCGACCCGCTCTCTGGCCGTTGTAGCATTCTCTTGTCTTTTGCTAGGCCCACCGCACACGTGTCCTGCAGACGCTCGTAGCCAGGGTCACGTAGGTCTTTTCTACGAAACTATGCACTTGAAAAGTCCGATGACACATTGATGGACCCGACGGCGCCTCGGCTCTCGCGACATCGTTCATGGTTCGCCCCATATCTCTTAGCGTTCATGGTTCGCCCAATATCTCTTAGGCTTTTCGTCCACGATACTACATACATTATATTTAAAAGTCTCGCTCTGACAAAATAATATTATTATACACATGTATAGCATTACAAATTAGAAACAGAAAAGACATGTACCTCCGTAGCTCATAACTTTCTTTGACGAAAATTTATTCCTATTCTAATTATAAAGTTTTTAGTAATAATAATAACAAAATAATGACTCGATGATTGAGTACATATTAACAAAAATACCCGTATCTGAAATGTTTATTATTTTGAAACTTAGTGAGGTACAATTATTTCATAAAATTTATTATTCTCGTTTTGTTAAATGCAAAATCAATAATTATATCTTCGTAATTTCAATTTTCACATAATTTATTCAAATTAAATAATCAATTAGATAGTCTTCCCTGGGACATAGTAGTATGTATATAATTTTTAATTAATTTTAATCTAGAGAAAGCACGCCCTGCAGAAGCGATTGGAATAATTAGTAATATTCATAAAGTAACATAAAATTGGAAAATAAATCCTTAATTTTATGTATCATATTCGAACATTGCATTGCTGTTATATACAACAAATTTTTACTGTATATGTCACAAAATATTTCTATTTCATTAAGCATATCGCTTCTATCTACATTTCGATGATTTTCATTTTCTAAAATAATGTCCAAATTCATACGGTGTTTAATCGGTTCTTCTGCTTTCATATTTTTTAGTATTGTTATGTTATATAGAAATCTGAATGGTACAGACTCATGCTCAATGCTCAATTTGCATGAACCTTTCTCCGATTGAAAATATTCTCTGATCAGTCATAACTAAAAAGTGCTTTTTGAAAAAGATAACTTCGGTGTTATGCAAACGTGTATCTCCGCTTCATAGGCATAACAAATTTTCGTTTTCTTAATACGACGTCTTAAAAATTTAATGAAATGTCATTATTAGAGCAGGTGAACCTGTCGAAGAGCTACTTGCTCATCGATTTCGATGCCCTTGAAATATATCGTGAGATCATGATTCTGAACAACATTTTCTTATAGATACGAATGCTCGGTCTTAGTTTTCGTTATATTCATGCAAAAGTATGTTTGGTATCATAAACATATAAATCCTTTTTTTATATTTTATATAAAATTAAGAGAATAATGTTTGACATCTTATTTGTAAATAAAATAGTAGACGGTATTATTTCTTCTTCCAATGTCAACCAGCAATTTTCTCTTAATGTCCCTTTAATATGTCTTAGAACCAACAGTTTATTCTACACCGATCAACACATATTGCTTTAATCGTGAGCTAAATCATGCTAACTCCTTTTATTCGAAGATAGATCAACTTTGGCAAATCACAGTCTCCTTAAAACACTTGCTGGAACGTTTATTTTAATTTATTTGTATGTTTGTATCTATGTTTAATATATATATGTCGGAGAAGAGTCAGGAAATATATTATTTCGAGCATATATATGTCGGGTTCACATTATGATTAGGGTTAGGTGAGTGTAACGAATCTTCATTTGGATTAATCATTGTTGTTATGTAATAGAGAAGATATTTACTAGTGCAAATATGATTATTACAGAATTTGACAAGTAGCCGTAGTAATTAGATACTCGAGATGCTAATGACGATGATGTGAGATCGGACGAGAACGAGTGCACTCAACGTGGTATGAGAGTTGGCTGAAGTAAGTAGTTTTGTTACTTGCTCTTAATATTCAAGAAAAAAAGAATATTAAAAAAACAGATGTATGTAAAAATGAGAATGATACAATGTATGGCAATAGTCGCGTAGTACTAAAATATTTCTTTTTTTCGATGCTTATATCATAGATTATTAAAAATAGATTATTAAGGAAAGCAAAAAAAAAAAATTGTAAAAATGAAAAAACCAATACCACACGGAGTTCCCAAACGGTGAACCATCTAAGTAGCATTCGTGCCTAGCGTTGCTTAACTTTCGTGATCAAACGAAAACGAGTGCTTTTTTAATTTTAATTATAACGTTTATTGCCCAAAGAAATACATATTTTGTATATAAGGCCTAAAATTTTTACTATATCGAATGCTTTTTCAAGGCAGGCGGCTACTCGTTGCTTTACATTGGGAGCCCACCAGATGTCTGACGTTAGTTTATTTATTGCGTACAGTGTGGAATGTTTGTGTCGGAAGCCGATTTGATTGTGTTGGATTACGTTGTTTTTTGTGCGGAAGGGGACTAGGGGGTTGTTTATGACTATTTCGAATACTTAGCTTATGTTGGATAGGAGGGGTCGCAGGTTTGATTTTGTCTTTGTTTCCGCGTCTTCTTTTTTTTATTTTGCACTTGCCTGGTCAATGCGACTCAATATATTTTACGCACCGATAATTAAGGTTACAGTTTTGTGAGATATGACATAACAGTTGGCATTTGTGGCATTGCGTCATGTAATTTTTTCTGATTTTTCCCCATTTTACCCTAAAGTAATTCAGGCGGCTAATTTTTGGTAAGTTACTAATATTGCTATGAGAGAATACTTGGACTATGTTGATTGGGAGCAGTACGTTGTTATCTATTGATTTTTTATTGAGATGCGTGAAACTTTTTTTAATTGGACGTCGGACATCTATAATGCTTGCAACTCTACGAGTATTTCTGTCTCAGAGATTTATTATTTACATATGTATAGAGGAATATACATAGGTACTGAATTAAACCATAGATAAACATATGATAATGAGTGGACTTGTGGAAAAAAATTACTTCCTCTTCGATTTCGATGGGTTTTGAATATATTATCCGAATATATTATTATATTGAATATATTAGTATCCGAGATATTCGCAAATAACTGTCGATAGTACTATAGTGTAGTCAGCCGATAGTTGTGTGCTGAGGCAGCGTATGGGTCAGTATTGGTTGCCCAAGTCCACCACAAATCTATCTCTTTTCTTCTGTTTATAGTATATATAAACGAGAATTGGGCTAACTCAATGTCCCGTGCATAACTGCATAGGTTGTAAGAAATGTCTATTGTAAACCAATTAAATGTAAATGTCATCAATGTGTTGCGTTAGGGTTAGTCTTTTTAATAGCTTGCTTGAAATAAAAACAAGTTAATTATACAAATACTGAACAAATTGATAATTGATATTATTTTTCGAAATAGAACAGTTATTATTTTATGCTAATCATTTCGCGTATAACCTACGAGTGCACTCAAATTTTTCACTCTTAACTCCTTTCTAACCTCATCTTTTGTAATTATTGCGGCGTATTTACGGTGTATTTACATGCGTGTAGTATTCGCTGGATAAACACTTCTCAAGCTTGTCGAAGGCGCGGCCCCTTTCCCCCACAGTAGTTACATGATAATAATTTTATTTGCACTAAAGTTCGTCGATTCGCGGATAAATATATCGAAAACTAAATTGAGAATGCGATAATCACGAGACTATCAATTTATATTATTTTAAATATAATTATTTTATACGTCTTTCAAATTTATTTGTGAAATTAGAAGTATTTTGAAAAATAAAGAACAAAATAAAGGATTCTGTTACATTGAACCGCTTAATTGAGCTTAATCACTAAATAAGTTCGGATTATCCTTTTCTCTTTCTTGCTTCAGTTTTTCCTCGGTCCTGTCGTTTTCGACGAACTGATCGATCGTCATAATGACATTAACAAATTAATATCTTATTCGACAATGATAACGGATTTATTTTCATTGGAAAATCGATTGACTGTGTTTACAATCAGAGCATCAGGAATTTCTTTGGCCTGATTGGTTACAAATCTAACAATGTGAAATTCACCATGAAGCATGAAGATAAATTTGCATTTAATTTCATCGTTTGAAAAAAAATTGTCTTTTGAACGACGCATTTTCACTTTACGAAAAAGCTTTGTTGCTTTTGTACAAGAAGAACTGTTTTCATCGGAATGGTTATCCGAAAGAATAATTTGAAAAAACACTCTGTATAATATAAATGTGTATATCTGTACTATATGCGAATTCACCGCTAATCTACATCGACCCATTAGCACCTATTCTATGGTCATAACTGACCATATACCAGATCAGTGCTTTTCTATTCTTCGAAAGAATTTCTGGTTTTTACGAACATCCATAGTAAACTTGTTTTATGTAGCGATAGTTTATTTTCTGGTAATTGTTCACTGGTAGAATGTCTGTGTTGTTTCCAAACAAATTTGTCTGGATGTAGATGGTCCGGGCAAAGACCTGATTATCTAACTGTTTTGCTGTATGATGTGGTGGTTGAGAATAATAAGAGATGTGGTACCTTTCCTTAATGTGAATATAGTGAGGTTGCATTTACCCATATTTTCAGTTTATTTCTATCTATTTAGCCGCTCCTCGAGTATTTCGATGTGAGTTTGTAGCTGTAGCTACATTAGAGTAGGTTCTAATTTATTTTATATAGTGTCGTACAGTGACAGCTATCTACTTACCAAATCGCGTTACAAGAAAAAACCTGGGAGCACAGGAAATTACTTTGAACCCCGAGACAGTTGGGCTGATATAGTCGGCTGCCCGAAAGTTCCATTATAATATTTCCGAATTAAACATGATAGAATTTGGAAATATTGCGTTATAACGTTTTGTGAACAATATAAAGGAATAACGATAATGTGTAGGTCAAGGTGGGTGTAGGTCGTAAGATAAAGGATAGTGTAGATAAATATGACAAGGTGTATTTATAAACAAGTTATTTACTATAAATTATTTAATATGTATACAGGCCAGTCGTATTATAGATGCGATAGTTAGAGTCAAATTATTAATTTTGGTTTTTTATCGTAGTTAATATTATGTTGGTTGTGGCCATGTTGAAGGCGAATCAGGATAGTCCTGGCCGAGGTCGGTGGTCTGGCCCTATAACAAATAATATCAATAATATAGCAAATAAATATCTAAACATCGATATCATTTGTAAGGGAATGCACTTTGAGCATAGTGAATTTATGTTGAACAGTTTTTGGGTACTAGATTGAAATTAGATAATAATTTTGTTACTTATGTTGTAGATTTGCTCGTTAATTTTAAGGAGATGCAATTGTTCAGGAGCCGTTAATTCACTGGATATGTCGTCCTTGTAGAGAAATGTTAGGTTGGCATGATCGCTAGTTACTACAAGCTAAGTTGGTACGACTTCTAACTACGCTCTTTTGTCTTAGAAGTCGACCACGTGTTAATTGACCGAGTGTATTCTGTGTGTTAAGACGTGTCTTACGAGGCGATATATTATTACAAAATATATTGGAGAAAGTCGAATCTGCGTGAATCGATTAATTAATAAACCCAAACCTATATCCTTTAACAGGTTATGGGCCCAGGGCAGTAAACTGCGGTAATAAAAGGCATTACTTTTGAGTTTTTGTGTTTTCTGAGATAATCCAAGAAGAGACCACGCCATGGTCGACCAGGAGAGAATAGGTGATGTGGACAGCGATATGAAGCCGGCCCTAAGAAAGGGGAATTACGAATATTGGAAGACAATGACGGAAGCCTCGTTAATTTCTCTGGGTTGCTGGAAAGCAATAGAGCCAGGATTTACGGCAGCAGAAAGGTTGAACCCAGAGTGCATGAGGATGGACAACATGGCACGTGCCTTCCCGGCATATTCTCTCCGAATATCTTGGGGAAATTAGGATTTTGAAAACAGCAAGGGATTCCTGGAAGGTGCTAGAGGACGTCCACGGGAGGTCTACGTCGATGGACACTGTTTTATGCATACGGGAACTGGGAACTATAGAGAAGACCCCCAACATGGATATCTTCACATACTGCGGGAGGATATACGACCTATGCGACAAGCTCTCCAACGTAGGATTAAAAATTGAAGACCATATGATGGCATGTTTCGTTTTGGCCGGCCTCGTGGCGGATCCAAATTATGCAATGTATATTAGAACACTAAGAATCGATAAGAGTCTAACCGTGAGGATCGTGAAGTCCGATCTTCTACTTGAAGAAAAACAGATCGAAGCGGCCATGGATTCATCCGAGAAGAACAACGCAATGGCGACCTGGAAACAATGGAGGTCCAAGCCTCAACAAAGCAAAGATGGCGCGAAACCAAAGCACAAAGACCAAAAGGATAAGAAGTACTACAAATGTGGAAAATGAGGCCATATATCGTACCACTGCCAAGAGGGAAAGGGAGATAAGGAGGACCAAAACCAAGGAGACAAAAGGGAGAGAGAATCAGAAGACAAACCGAAGTCCAAGGAACTTATCTCCGCGCTAGCTCTATCATCTATCAGCCACATGGAAAGGGACAGGATCAGCTACCTTGACTCGGGGGCCTCAAATCACATGACTCCGGACAGGCATCGGTTCGTGGATTTCGTGCCTGAAACTGGATAGATCAGGATTGGTAAGGGGTACCTGGAAGTCAAGGGAAAAGGAACGATCGTCGTGAAGATGACTAAGGCCTGTGGCGGGTGGAACCTATACTTGTCGAACGTCCTGTGGGTACCTGAATTAAATGTGAATCTAATCTCAATCAGGCAATTGGCAGTATGTACGAGGGATGAGGCCATCGGTACATATGATGATGGGGATGTAATATTCAATTCAAAGGTAGGAGACAATGTGTACTACCTAGAGACAATACCATCTGAAAGGCATGTAGCAAACGTTTCCGTGGAGAATGATCAGGAGAGACCTGGGAAAGATGACGACGACATTGAGGTCATTGAAGCCAAGACATACAAAAGTATCGTATCATGGCATGAGAGATTAGGTCATCTACATGGGAATGCGATGAGGAAAATCCCTGTAGTGTGAAAGAGGACTCGAGGAAACATGAGGAACCATGCGGAGTCTGCGTGAAAGGAAAGATGACCAAAGTACCATTTCCGAGGACAGCTCACCACATGTGTCAACGCCCTTTAGAGATTGTTCACAGCGATATTAGTGGCAGAACTCAATGCAAGTGGCTGGGCGGAGGTAATTATTTTGAGACCTTTATTGATGACTTTTCTCGTTTCATGCACGTCAGAATCATCAGTAGGAAGAATGAAGTACTCAAATGTTTCAAGGAGTACCAAGTGGAAGTGGAGGCTTTGCACCAATCCAAAATAAGTGCGCTCCAAACTGATAACGGGGGTGAGTACACGGGGGAAAACTTTGAGAAATATCTGAAGGAGAAAGGCATCTTACACAGAAAGACCGTTCCTAAAAACCCCGAACAAAATGGGGTTTCCGAACGAGCAAACAGGTCGAAATGTCTAGATGTTTACTCATCCAATCAGGACTCTGACTATCTGTGGGGGGAGGCTGTGAGCACGCCATGTCACATAAGGAACCTATTTCCATTCACTGCTATCGGAGACAAGATCCCACTGGAATTATGGAAGGGTAAGGGATGTGACCTCCAAGGGGAGATTAACAGACTGAGTGTGTTTGGATGCAGAGTCTGGTATCTGAAGAGTCCAAGCGGAAGAAAATTCGAGAGCAGGGTGGATGAGGGAATATTTGTAGGATATGACAAACAGGTCAAAGGTTATAGAGTTTACCTGCCGAAGACGAAGAAGGTGATAATATCCTGTCATGTCAGGCTCGAGGAGAACACGTTCCCCTACAAGAACGCTAAAGTGGAGATGAGCAATATAAAAAGTAGGTCCTCAGAATGGATATGGGATGTAGAAGCCTTTGAACTTGGAAGGGGAGTTGGCCAGACTGACGTCGAAACACAGAGTGATGGCGAAAACGACGAAGGGGAGACTGACTACTTTATGGATAATTTAACGAGTGAGAATAATCCAGTGGAGGCTGTGAGTGTACCGATTGTGCCCAGGAGGTCGGCAAGACGGCACAAACCGAAAACATGTGATAATTGTGCTCATACTGCGACCGTTTGTAAACTCAAAACTTGTGTGTACCTGTGAATGTGTACGAAGCCCTGAGGGGACCAGATGCTCAAAAGCGGTCTGACGTAATAAGGAAAGAATTAGACAATTTAAAAAGAAAAGATGTGTGGGACATTGTGCAAAGATACTTAAATAGAAACGTTATAGACTGTAAGTGGGTGCTTGTGATAAAGAGAGACCCTGATAGGTATAAGGCTAGACTGGTAGCTCGGGGATTCTGGCAGAGACCTGGAGTAGATTACTCAGAAACCTTCAGTCCAATAGTGAAACGCAGAACTCTAAGAATTCTGCTTGCTCTATCTGCGGAGAATGGGTAGGTTTACGAGCACATTGATGTGGAATGTGCGTATCTCAACAGTTCTCTGGATGAGGATATATACATGGAGCAACCAGAATTTCCCAAACCAGGGAAGGACAGAACTCAATTTGTGTGTAAACTTAAAAAGAGCCTGTATGGACTGAAACAAGCTGGGAGAATGTGGTTTAGGCACATCAATAGTATTTTAAAGGGTATGAGTCTGAATCCATGTGTGAGCGATCCATGTGTGTATGTGAATGCGTCCAAAGATTTGATTGTAGCTGTGTATGTGGATGACATTCTTGTGTTTGGGACGAAGGAGTGGATTGAAATATTCAAAACTAGGATTAAGGACAAATTAGACGTAAGAATGCTAGGTGTAGACACTCAATTTCTATCCATCCGCCTGAGCATGCCAAACAGCACCACTGTGATATTTGATCAATCCATACAGATAGGTCAAATGCTGGATCTGTTTGACATTACTCATGAGGTTGGAGTATCAACACCGCTAGCTAAACAAATTATTCGACAATAAATTATACGAACAAGCTGTGGGGCATATAATGTATGTCGCCACTGTAAGTTGCCCTAATGTCGCGTGTGCAATAAGAAAACTAAGTCAAAGGTGTGCAAATCCAACTGTATCCGATTGGAAGGCAGTGAAGAGGATATTCAAGTACCGGTTGAAAACCAAAGACTTAAAACTAGTGTACCAAAGAACGGGACAACCTTTGAAGGCGTTTTGCGATTCGGATTTTGCGGGCTGTACGGTAGATAGGAAATCCAGGAGCGGGTATGTCTTCATACTCGCTGGTGGTGCAATATCCTGGTTGTCTAAAAGACAACCGATCATAGCTCAATCGACGTGCGAAACGGAGTTCATGACGATGCAGGAAGCAGCAAGGGAAACAGTGTGGATTTCCTTACTGTTAAGGGAGTTGTGCCAATTGTCATATTGCCCTCGCCCTTGCAAGATCTTCTATGATAATATCAGAGCTATTTCATGGTCAAAGGATGAAGTAGTTGCCGAAAGTTCTAAGCACGTCCAAGTGCGTTACTTTTATGTGAAGAACTGCGTGTCGAAGGGGATATTAGATTATACGTATATACCTAGTCCTGAGAATGACGCTGACATCCTTACCAAAGGCTTAAATAGGGTTAAGACTCAGTATTTCACCAAAGCTATGGAGCTTGTAGGAACTACGATCAAAAGGGAGTGTTGAAAAATGTTAGGTTGGCATGATCGCTAGTTACTACAAGCTAAGTTGGTACGACTTCTAACGACGCTCTTTTGTCTTAGAAGTCGACCACCTGTTAATTGACCGAGTGTATTCTGTGTGTTAAGACGTGTTGTACGAGGCGATCAAATATATTGGAGAAAATCGAATCTGCGTGAATCAATTAATTAATAAACCCAAACCTATATCCTTTAACAGCCCTAAACCAGGATATTTAAATTTTATATTATTGTATTAAATAATATTGTATTGATAGGAAGTATTTTATCGCTACAATTATGAGTTTTGATTAAATATAGCATAGTGTCGTGTCACTACGAGAAAGGAGGTCAGTCGTAAAAAATAGCAGTAATTGTATAATAACAAAGAACAAGCCAAATATACCGGAATAACTCATCGGCTAGCGGGTGTGTCTATCAAAAACAAAAGAAATTTGAAAGATCTTAGTTTATAGGACTTGTTGACAATCAATGTCACGCAGTCGATACAATGTTTGAGTGGGCTGTGTTTAGACACACAACATAATTTATAAAATAAACAATTCTTATATTTGATTTAAGAAATGATAGATGGTTTGCGAGCAGTATTTATTAGACAGTGGCTGAAATTCAGTTTATAATTTGAATTTAATAATTAAATATCTAACGAATGAGTGTTTAGTCTATAAAGCACGAATGGAACAGATGATAACAATCTACAGAGCGTTCGTGCTTGGCGGGTGTATTATTTTGTTTTGTTTACCTAGTAGATGGGTATTCTAGTGGACGGCGTTAAATTTGTAGATTGGGGTTAGGTTGTAAATAATGGGATTGTTTGATATTATTATAAGGAGTGGGCGATCACGGCATGCACCCTGAGAGTTGTATAGCACTGGTAGAGTTATTCGAGTAGAGATAGTCGCTAACTATTTGATAAACTGCGTAAAATGCACTTGCACTTGCACATAAATTCAATCGAGGTTGTTAGAATCACGTGGCAGGCTAAAGTATATGAAAAATTCCTTAACACCGTAATCTAGAATCTGCCATAGCTGTAATTAAACAATTGTAGTCACCCAGTCCGATCGTAATTGTTCGAGATTTGTGATAATGAGCTTGGGCTCAAGGCGACAATTAGTCGCCGAACGTAGCCGCGGTCAAGGGATGAACGCTTTGTCTAACATAGGCATTGAGTAACCCTATAGCTCTCCTTAAAAGAAAGATTTGTAGCGGCACGCGGCAGTAAACATTCCAACGGTTTCTGTCCCGTAGCTCGCCACACGCAGATCCTATTCTCCGGGCAGGATCGGCTAGCCCGAGGACCTTTATAAAGACTAATATCTAGTTACCTAAAATCCTTCAACAGATAAACAGTCTTTGTCCCAGTTACAGGAAGACAGGAGAGACCTATTTTTCCACGAACGACGTCACAGATGTCGCGAGTGTGTGATCATTGTGAGTTTGTGTCAACTCTGTAACATTTTTGTGTGTGTCAATAAAAATAACTTCAGTGTAAAAAATGGATAGCTTCAGTGAGGAATCCTTACCTGTCCCAAGCCTCCGCCAAGAGGACGACTCGGGCCCAGATTCGGACTTTGACTCGACATATATGTGATTGTACAGCATAAGAACATTTATATAAATAATGTAATTGTACAATAAATGTACGCAAACATTGACATTATTTATTGTTAGGGAAAAATCGACACGAATTTCCTCTATATTGTCGATTGTAATGATTAAGTTTATTTCGTTCATTGGTGGTTCATCGGCTTATTCTGTTTTTGCCGAGCACACGCGTTT